GCGCCCGGCCGCATGGTGCCCCTCCGCCGTGTGCGCGCCCGGCCGCATGGTGCCCCTCCGCCGTGTGCGCGCCCGGCCGCATGGTGCCCCTCCGCCGTGTGCGCGCCCGGCCGCATGGTGCCCCTCCGCCGTGTGCGCGCCCGGCCGCATTGTGGCTGTGGCTCACTAATGCCGACGTCTGGCACATTTGGTTTAAGTTACTAGGCAATTCTCATGAGACTCACAAGACCTATAGATGTTGTTTATGGTATAAACTTATTAATGTACTGTTTCTTACATTATTGGCCACTAGGATCACTGTTTTGTTAATTAATTTTGTTTTGGCATAAATTAAGTCATGGAGTTGTTTTCCCCTTACCCTTTCTTCCCCCAATCGGAATTGTGTATTTTAGTACGCAATTTTAGTCAACGCATTACAGACACTCCTCACTTAACCGATTTACGTTCATAGGACTAGTTTGTTAAGAGAACTGGTCGATAAACAAGGATCTGCCCCTTACCGATATTTCAAGCACACTGTACCAGTAGTGGGTTTGTGTCAACCATCTTTAGATATTGTTTTAATGTCACCTTTGCATCATTTATAACATTTTTAGCATATTTAAAGATGTTTATACAGTAGAGTATTATATACTGTAATACACAGAAGAGAGTAAATCAGCTCTAATATACATTAGAGGTTTGCATACTATAAATACAGGTAATCATTTTTATTTATTCTGAAAAGGCCTAAAGGAAACTTGATAACTTTCATATCTCCATGATTCCATCGAAATGGTAAACTGCTTCTACGTGTGTGCTTGCTGCCTCACTGTTGATACTCCGATTATGCAGGTTGAATCTCCAACAATGCAAATTTATAGAAAATATATATGTAGTCTGGGACATTGTGAACACTATTGTAGTGAATACTGACCAACAGCGGGAACGAGACAGACAGACTGAGAAAGGATGACACAAGATGAGATGCTTGACACGGAGATGCCATGCTGCCGTTTCCACGTTTTTCCTCACACAGCTTACAATACCAACTGGTCAGAGAGCTGGTTGTAAGTCCACCCGGTTGTCAAACAGGTAGTTCATTAAGTGAGGAGTGTCTATGGTCACAATGACACAGGACTGACTATTGTGAATTCTGTTGTTTTTATATAATGCAACGTAAAATGGAAATCCCCAGTTTCAGCCACAACAATATAATGATTAGGAATTATTTAAGACTGATATAGTACAGTATGGGAGAATTTGCTCTATAATTTTTAATCTTCAGGTCTCTAACAAATAGTCTCGCCCCCTGATTTACTAAGGCAGTTACATACCTGGTATGTAACTATATAGGTAGATCTAAAAATAGATTTTATGAGTGCGCCTAGCAGAGATCGTCGGTGTGGACCACCGGGGGGGGGTGGACTACAGCAACATGGTGATGTGTCAGTCGTCAGTCCAGCCCAACCCTGACATGCACCCACCATTAAAGTCCAGTGTGTCCCCGTACATGTGGTCAGACTGCTATTGCAGACATACCGTTTTTTTGACAGCAGTTGGCTTCTTCTTGATCAGTGAGGAGGCCTCTGTTAAAGCCAAGTGAGACACCATGAGTTTCAGAAATGCAAAAGCATGATGTAAGAGCCGCGATGAGCCTAGGGCTTCCCAGCAAAGGCAGTACAACCCGGCTATGCTACATGTATTCTGCCCCAAGTAATCAGAGAAGGGCCACGAGGCGGGACAGCCACACACACACTGCGGCCACGAGGCGGGACAGCCACACACACACTGCGGCCACGAGGCGGGACAGCCACACACACACTGCGGCCACGAGGCGGGCCTGCTCATGCTTCAGCCAAAGCTAAACTAACAGTCAGGTCTGTAAAGGCAGTTTGCCACTTGGCACAGAAAATGACAGAGGACAGACAGGACAGGTATGAGGAGGACTGGCTGTCTACCTTTATTTGGAGTAACTCCTGCAGGAGACAAGTCAGCTACAAGACAAGCCAGATCTGTTACATGCCTGTCAGTACAACAGATTTATGTTAAAAGGCCATTTGATAGAGTGACTGGCTGCCGACCACCGCTTACCCAGTGCTGCCTTGGGGGAGACGCCCAGACGATCCACACTAGGCCCTTCCTCTGATTCACCGACAGAGACAGATTACATTAGATAAATAGCAACAAACAATTTATACAGCAACATACCTGCCATCCTACAACAGCCCACACCCCACACAGGGGCACATTCCCACAACCTCCACTGTACAATTACTGTATGTATTCAAGGGCCCTGTGAGGCTCTGGGGCCCCCTGAATCTACCAGGGTATCCGTGCCCCTACTGCACCCCTGGGTAGGGCCCCTGTAAAGTGCTGGGCCCCCTGAATCTACCATGGTATCCGTGCCCCTACTGCACCCCTGTGTAGGGTCCCTGTAAAATGCTGTGCCCCCTGAATCTACCAGGGTATCCGTGCCCCTACTGCGCCCCTGGGTAGGGCCCCTGTAAAGTGCTGGGCCCCCTGAATCTGCCAGGGTATCCATGCCCCTACTGTGGCCCCTGTAAAGTGCTGGGCCCCCTGAATCTGCCAGGGTATCCGTGCCCCTACTGCACCCCTGGGTAGGGCCCCTGTAAAATGCTGGGCCCCCTGAATCTACCAGGGTATCCGTGCCCCTACTGCACCCCTGGGTAGGGCCCCTGTAAAATGCTGTGTCCCCTGAATCTACCAGGGTATCCGTGCCCCTACTGCACCCCTGGGTAGGGCCCCTGTAAAGTGCTGGGCCCCCTGAATCTGCCAAGGTATCCGTGCCCCTACTGCACCTTTGATCCTACACATTTACATAAAGACTTTGGCTAAGAAAAAGCCATGATGAACTGAACAATAATAATGCAGAGTTTAGTTTTGTCTACACTCCATGTGGGCCAGCCTACCATCGTTGGTTTTGAGGCTCTCCTGAGTTCTGAGTTCCAGTGTTGCCGAGTGGTCTAGACTAGACTGGTCATCATGACCTGCCTGCCAGTGGTAACAGAACAGAATAAAACATATTGTCATTGCACAACATACAATGAAATTAAAAAGTGCTACTTCTGAATTGTGTAAACTCAAGCAAATCACAGCAACACCACACAAAGGCAAAGACTCAAATTCAATCAAATATACTAGCTAAATTAGGAACTGTGAGATTAGTAGAGAGATATCCAGAAGGAAATTTAGGTGTCCAGTAGCTTATACACAGTATACATACACATAGGGACACAGACCAATGAGATTCACACACACATACATACTGCAACAATACAAAGGAAAATAACAGGAGGGCAGTGTGCTATACAGGCCTAAACACTTAAGTTCATCACACTCGTCCCCTTCCATGTGATGTTGAAGAGCTGTATGGCCATAGGGACAAAGGACCTTCTGAGCCTGTCTGTTCTGCATGACAGAGACAGGAGCCTATTACTGAACATGCTCTTCTGTTTGGAGGAAGTGGTGTGCAGAGGGTGACGGTCATTGTCCTGTATTGAGAGCAGTCTGCTCAGGGTCCTCCTATCTGCAGCTGATGTCAGTGACTCCAGCTCCATACCCCCCACAGAGCTGCTTTTCTCACCAGCCTGTCCAGTCGTCCAGCATCCCTCTTCCTAGTGCTGCCTCCCCAACATACCACAGCACAGAAAAGGACACTGGCTGTGACAGACTGGTAGAACATAAGCAGGAGTTTGCTGCAGACATTGAAGGACCCCAGCCTCCTAAGGCAGTAGAGCCTGCTCTGCCTGAGATATGAACCTAACTACAACTGAACACCCTCAGAGTGCCTAGACAGATAGATGCAAGCTAAGACTCTGCTCAACCAGGGGCATCAGCAGAGAAACTGCAAACCAACAGCAATGGCAGGGAGAGAGAGAGATGCCAGGCCAGTAATAACAACCGTCTGCACGGGCACTGTAAAACACTCCGCCAGCCATTGGGGGCAGTATATACAAACACGGCTAACCTACAGGCACACAGACAAGACATACCTGCGTGTGCAAGGCAAAGAAATCCTCCGGTTTGTTCTGTGGTGATGTTGGGGAGATAGGAGCCTGGCTGTCCAGCCATAACTGGAAAAAAGTTATAACCCTTAAAAGACCTCTTATTTTGAATAAAGGCTAAGCAGCTTCATAATGCAACAACACATTCTTGTTCCAAGGCCATCTCATACACATCACAATAACCCAGTGCAACATGACAGACATGCAGATATGGCACCCAATGGATCAGAAACATACGTTACCTCTGTTCCATGCTGCCTGGTGGCCTGCATGGCCAGGGCCTTGATCTTCTCTCGGTACAGTTGTGCAGCTCGGCTGTTGTATTTGGCATTGGCTGCGTTGGCTGTGCAGCCGTGCTGCTGGAAGTATGCCATCTGCGCAGACACAGAGGGGATCATTTCCCCGTCCACAGATTTGTAGAGAATGTGCCACTACAGAGCCCTTAAAAATGGCAGCAGCAGCACTCAGTACATCACCGAGTATGTCACGCCAGCTTCTCGGGCAGGAGATGCTCACCGCATTGGCATTGCCGCCCACCTGCATGCAGCGCAGCTGGTACCAGGACCAATTTGAGTCCAGCTCCGTGGATCTGCAAGACAGAATTCATATCTCACCCTTTCATCTCACCACATCAAGAACACACCTATCAAGAACTACTAAAATAAACTGAAATGCATCTCAAGCGTGTCAAATTTATTCATAAGCAACCACAGAATCATCACTGCTTCCAGGATTGCTGAAGTCCAAAACAGAACAGAAGTAGACCACCATAAACCATTAAGCAAGCCAGGCTAACAACATAAAGGCTCTTATCAGGGGAGAGACAGGGCAGAGGACTTGTTTATATCTGAAGGGGTTTTGTAAAGCTCATTTAGAAAAAGGAAAAGCATCTAGCCACGTCCTACCTGATGAAGGACAGGTGTACGCCAAGAGATCTGTGCGTGCCAGAGCAGTCAATACACAAGAAGACACCATAGGTGATGCTAGCCCAGCTGGGATTCTTAGCTTCACAGTCAAAACATGCCTAGCAAACAGGGAGAGAGTTAATACCAGACAGCTGCGAGGTTTATCACAGGCCTTTGGGCATCTATACAAGTCAGATTAAAGAGCAGGTTAGGTTCTGTCCCTTGCCCATGATATCTGACCGGAACTGTAGACATTATTTTTAAGGGGATAAAATGATGACTATTCTGCATTAATGTGGTGTTCTGCTGGTTAAAAGTTCAGTTTAGTTAACCAAGAAAGTATGACTCCCTTTCAGTAATACATTTACCATGCATAGGCCAGACAAACGACTTGTTAGACAGAGAAAATATGTAAGGGGCCAAAAATAAAAAAACCTGTAAGAAGAGAAGGAAACAGTAAGAGATTACTATATTACTAAACACATGAACTCAGAAAAATGTTTGCTTGAGGGACTTATTCACCATTTGAAGAACAAGACGGGTATTTGCAACCTCTTAAAAATCATAATGCTGTGGTCAACAGAGGACTCAAAGCTTAAAAAAAAACTTGATAACTAGTAATTAAGCTGAAATGAGTCGCACTCAGGGGGAAAAAAGTGCTATAATTATTAATAACTTCATTTAAACCGGTTCCTTGCGTCTGACACACTAGTACATGTTCACGTATGGTCTTCAAAGTCACTTAGAATATATCCACCTTAGAGCCCAGTAACTCCTTCCATTTTCTAACGTAGCCGCCTTAACCAGTTTTGCGCGTTGCGGTAAAATATTGCCTTAAACAATGGTTTTAGGGCGTTCATGCGTGTTATTTTTCACTTGTGCAGTTTCATAGGCATGCGTCTAGATTCTGGGTTAGAAAAAAAAACGATTTAGAAAAAGTTTCCTTAAAAACCTGTTCAGTAGTTTGGCGTAAAGAGCACGAATACTTGACCAAAACAGTTAACCACCAATTCTAAATGTTTTATTGTAAAATATTCTGAAAGTATCAAAATCCTTCGAGGTTATCAACAGGCTAAACAAAAGTTACTATGTAACACTTTGGGAACTGGGTAAATAGCTGCACTTAACGAAGGTGACATAACGAAGTTAATAGTAACTAAATAACTCGTATTATATTCGTATTATATGTAGTCAAGAAAACCATTTTAACTTTCAAGATTTTGCTGCTAAAAGGTCCAGTTTCCCCACCATATGTTAATGTCCGCTTTCTCACACACCAGCCACAGTGCGACGTGTCCAAAAATCCCAATGCTGTCAAAGGTCCAAAGCACCCGGGAGCGCCTTCCAGATCAGCTCAAACCATTACCTTATTCGTGGGAACGGACCGTAGCCGCTTGAAGATCGCGGAGATCTCCTGTTTGCTCGGATCCGACATCTCGGTACCTGCTCCCGGGCTTCCAAACAACTAACCAAAGTTCACCTACCGAGCGCCGACCGACGCCACATCAACTACTGCTCGGAGAGCCGGATGAATTTCCGCACTCTGCGTGATAACAGACACGTCAAAATAAATGACGTTTGAGGCGCGTTCTTATTGGTCAAACGAGAGAACAAACGAACGAGGCATTTCAGTGCATTATGGGAATCTGAGGTTGTTCATGAAACTACAAGAAAGTAAAATAAATGGTAAGCGGTTACTGCCAGGAGATCGTATTTGAGTTTGTGGCCACTTTATTTACCACTACTGCCTATTCTGTCCGCATGAATACAAAAAAAAAATCATATCAGTACACTAGGAATACAAAAAAATCGCCCATATTCAATTTGCTCGTAATTACACAAACAATGGATTTATTTTCAAAAATAACAACTAGAGTTATATTTAATACAATATTTTATTGGTGTTTTTGAGAGGGGATACCACTTACAAACAACTGTGCAAGAATAATTTGTAATATCCTCAAAGATCTGCCTGACACATACTACCCAATATACATTTCGCGGTCGGTCGCTATATGCCGGCCTGGTCTTCGAAAAAGCGACTATCAACGTCGGCATCGACTGCATTTTTTCCAAACTAAGAACATCAGGCCATACAAAAAGAAAAGGATTAACATACTTTGAAGTTAAAAATACAAAGTACAATCGGGATTTTACATTGAAATGATCACTGATCAAATCATTTACAAGTACTAAGCATTTACAGTTATGTAAAAAGACCAAAATAGCCAGAAGAATATTGCAGATCTTTGTTATGGATGTTTACAGACGTCCAAAAGAATATTCACAATAGTCTCAGAATTCAAACTTCATAAAACATTCAATTATTCTGAAGCGGCTTAAAATCACAGCATTTCTTCAACGGCACTAAAGCAGTACTATAAATTAACTCTTTCTTGTATAGCTTGTGAAATCATTTAATTTGTTTATAAGTTCATGTTTATTTACATGCAAAACAAGGCAAACTTTATTTCTTTAGAGTCATTTAAGACAATGAGGGCTTGACAGTCATAAAAATGTGTCATCAAACTAACAGCAATTTATGTGGCCGGACATCAAAATTTCCAGTGCTTGCTCAAATAAATTTGAGTGAGCCATTGTTGAACATTCAGAACTGCTCCAGAAACTAATCAGGAATGATACACATTTATCAAGAAAAATAATTAATAGTCAGTGCAGAAACTAAACTATGAACCATAACTGATCATGCAAAACCTGTGAAAAAATATACACAGACAGGTGCAGCATGAGTGGAACAGCATAAATTCACAATAGAAGGAAGACGTAACCCAACATTAAATAATCAACCTCATTACAGGCTCTCTAACCTGGTGTGCTGAGGTTTGATCAACATAAACATTTGCTGACCATTTTCAGTGAAACAATTAACTAGGAAATCTCAAAAATAGAAACAAAAGAAAATAGTATAAAGTTTACAATCACCATGTCTCACCCAGGGTTTAGTTCAGAGATAGTTCATTGGCTGATTACAAAGTGAGCTATCAGCAGAGGATCCTGAACGACCCACTTACAGCAAACCCACTAACCCAGAAGAGCCACTCTCTCGCGCATATACAGTATATAAATTTATTTATTTAATCAATGACAGGTAAAACACAGACATAGACACACACACAAAGACTGTCCACGGTATACATATCCCATAGGTTTCAAAATTTGAACTGGTTTTAACTGTCACTTCCTAGGAAAATGTACATTACCAAACATTGCTCAAACGTTTTTGATGGACATGAATTCATCTGTACAGCTCATGTTTCTGATCAAGATCTGAAGGGTTTTGCAACTGCTTATAATGACTGAAAAGATTGATGTGCATCCAGGCGCTGTCTGACTCCTTTTGCCAAACGGTTTTGTGATAAAAAGGCATGGCTTTGGTTTTTGTCCCACACAGTCCTCAACAGCCACCACTCTTGCTTTGGCCACTAGGGGGCAGAAGGCAGAAATCTGGCTCAGGGTCTCTGTTCCCTCTGCCCACACCACTCACCCTAGGTACTACTAGATATTTTCAACATAGTTGGCTGGGTACAGTCCCACATGTCCGTCCTTCAGGAGACCTTTGCACCAGCCTTGATCGTCTTCATTCCCAATTTTTATAAATTCATCACCTTTTAGGTGGGGTGGAAAAAAAAAGAAAAAACATTAACTGGAAAGAAATTTTTGACACCATGTGAAGCAGAGCATAGTTTATCAACTGAAACCAAACTTCAGAGAACCGAGAGACCTCATGGATCACAGTTTTGTTTTATTAACTCCACTATGAACTAGCGGCGTAATGGTACACAAAATTCATGGTTAGGTACGAACCATGGTTTTGGGTTCACGGTTCGGTACAATTTCAGTACAGCAGGGAAAACAGAATTTCTTTTAAATTTTATTATCAAATATACAAACAAAAAAACAAGAACAGTAAAAATAAGTCAAAGTGTGTAGCAAACCGAAAATAATGTATCAGAGAGTACACGATGAATATGTGTACTGATGAAGCCCTACTATGAACACAGGTGTTAGTGTACCTGCTTTGAAAGTGAGTTCATCCTGCTCCTGGCCTTCATAGTCATACAGCGCACGGACAGGTACTGAGACAGCCGGGGATGTCGGCTCATCGTCAAAGGGATTCCCGCTACCGTTGGTTTTGCCAGCAAACGGATTCCCCATGTCATCATCATCTGACCAATCCTGGGTCTTTGCAACACTGCAGGAACACAGCAAAGCCAATCACATACCAGTGTCTCTCTCACAAAAAAGGCTGTCACATCAGGGGTCCAGAAACATACTGACTAGATGGTTTGCATAACAAGGCAAGAAAAGGGGGAACAAAGAGAGACATTGAGTTGGTTCAAAAAATAGTTGTGTGTTCGAGACACATTCTAAATACATATCTTATAAATCTTTCCCAGTTTGACTCCCCAGTTATATGACCCACACATGCTCCAAAACAAGGCTGGCAGTTGTGAGCTATGTCATTCACATCGATGACAGTATGCCTTCTGCTGTATCTTAAAGGTAGCTGTGCACTTCAGACGAAATCAATGCAGTTTTAGCTATACGTTGTATGAGCCGTAATCACTGCAGTGATCAGCATTTTGGTGCACCGCCTGAGCAGGGTCACTTAGCAAAGCCTCTGATCCCATAAATGAGTCATCAGGGGGGTTGGTCAGCAGAACTATATGCAGTTAGCACATCACATGTATCTCAATTGGGTGAATTAATACATGTATCTGTGTATTTATGTTGATAGTGACCGTAACCGTTTAATGTCTGCCATGGAACGTGTTCTTAGTGCATAACCATAAGTGTTGTTGAAATTGCTGGCTTTCTGTGCCACTGCTAGTATTAAGGAAATAGTGGTTGTTAATAAAGAGAGCAACTTCAATTGCAAAACAGTCATCTTTATTTAAATGACTCACACAGTTGCCACAATACGTTTATTTGCACTGTGCATGTGGGTCTACTGCATTGAAAACATTATGTGCCATCAAGTGTTGTGGTGAGTCACAGAACGAACAAGGTGCTGACATTTTAACTGCAACAGATAATTCTCACTGACGTGGTCGATTCCATTTTGTCCGGATGAAGTGAAATATACAGCCACCTGAAGCCCCTGAGTTCTGTCACACATCAACATGTCACGCAGTTGAGCTGTTGATAAGAGTCCGTCAGTCTCAAGGCATGCATGCAGCTTGCCCAACCACCAGCAGAGGGAGGCACACTGCTACAGGAGCCGGGAACACCTCGATCCAGGATGAAGCATAGACCACCCCCCAATACACACAGGACAACAGAGCGTCACTGATGCACACAGAAGCTGCATTGCAGTCAGACCCAGTCAGACCCAAGCAGCTAAAACATGCTAAAACACAGGAAGGAGCAGGATTTGTTTCCCGCTGTAGGTCAAACACTGGGATAAAGGGCAAAAAGGCCCTGTTTGCTCCGAAGTCCAGTTTTACTGCTCCAACTTTAAATATTTACCTAGCTTTAACAGAGCCAAAAATTTGACATGAACTAATAAGGTTTGGGACAGTGAACCAGATAGCGAATTGCATGTATTTACCCAAGGAACCGGATATCTCAATCTTCCACTGTAGTTTTGCAACTTTATTTGGTGAAAGACAGCCCAGCTGTGTCTGAATTTAAGCGGAAAAGGGACACAACCGCAACTATGCATGGGTCTGACTACGGCTCGCGTGACAATGGGACACATGCAGGCTCTGCTGCGAGAAACACGGCGACATGGGCCGCTTTGCTCACAAAGACATTGCCATTTTAACTGGGGAACAGGAGTGAAAAGACTGAGGACGACAGAAGAACAGGAAACACAGAACAGTGGAGCAGCAACGGAAGGAAGGATGGCATCACCAACATTTTGGTTTTAACCTCCTCGTCAGCAACAGGGAGGGCTGGCGTGGCCTCTTGGTCAGCGTCTTCCTCCTCAAACGGGTTAGAGCTTCCCTGCTCTGGACTGCTGCTTAGGGTTAGGCTGGTGGCATGGAGACAGAAAAGTGTGGCCAACCTGCACCATCATGGCACACGGAAGACTCAGCAGCACCGAACAGAGGGAGGGCCGAGCATCCCCACATCGGAGGGCCGAGCATCCCCACATCGGAGCGCAGCACAGACGCAGCACGCAAATTCCTTACACACTTCAGCAGTAAGGATCAGAGTAAGTGGTGAGCTAAAGATCAGACTGCGACTCACACAGCTCTGTGATGTTCAGTTCTGGGGAATGTGGAGAGACCATGTTGGTGTGTCAGTGTTTGGCAGAGGAGAGACCATGTTGGTGTGTCAGTGTTTGGCAGAGGAGAGACCATGTTGGGGTGTCAGTGTTTGGCAGAGGAGAGACCATGTTGGGATGTAAGTGTTTGGCAGAGGAGAGACCATGTTGGGATGTCAGTGTTTGGCAGAGGAGAGACCATGTTGGGATGTCAGTGTTTGGGAGAGGAGAGACCATGTTGGGATGTCAGTGTTTGTCCACCGCCACCCTAGCAGAACAGAGGTCAGCTAGAGGACAAAGACCAATGTTTTTGGTACTGATAGGAGTCCTAATTACCTGTCATTAGTCTTGGCTGCTGGTTCACTGGCCTGGTTTATCCCTGTCAGGGTGACTCCATCAGATGGCCTCTTCTTGTCTCTCCTACTGAGGGTCCGGTTGAGGTCTATGGACCATTCCTGAAAAATGGGTGTGCGCGAACACGCACGCACGCACGCACGCGCGCACGCACACGCGCGCACACACACACACACACACACACACAAACACACACACAAACACACACACAAACAGTTAATAGTCTTACAGTGAGGTCAATCAGCATGTCATGCACAGGTCTGTCTAAAGCCTGATGTGGAGAGATGTTACCCCAACAATCACTAATAATCAGGGAATGACATAAGTGGTACAGAAGTACACATTTGCCATATAAAGGTTAAAATATCTGGTAATTTCTTGTTGCAATAGCATAAAAGCATACTTATTTTATGTGTATTTGTGCAGCGATGATGGGACAGCACATTTGAACCTTTACACAGAAAATGTGTAGTTGAATATCAGTTGTGTAAATCCCTGCTAAATGCATATTTTCATTGGATACTCACTGCAGTGTGCAGCTTTAACACAGCATGGGAAAACACAAAACTGGCAGAGATCATTATCCCCTGTGTGTGGAATCATTTTCATGCAGTTACTCAACACTTAATTTTAAACATTGGGATGTTAATTGTAATAGGAAACCACTCACCCAGTGGTGTAGGAACTTGCAGAACTGAAACACTGGATTATGAGTTGGTGAGTGAGTGACTCTCATGGATATATTACATTGTGGGGACCAAATGTCGCAACAATGTGATAAAAACCTGTTATTCTGACCTTGTGGGGACCATTTTTTCAGTCCCCACAAAGGGAAACTCAATTTTATAAAAATCTAACTCCAATCAACAAACTAAAAATTCCAAAAGTCTTCTGTTCTGTTTGGTTACTTATGGTTAAGGTTAGGGCTGGGTAGGGGTTAAGCCTCTCATTGCTGGGATTTAGAGTTTGTCTCATGGAAATGAATGGAGAGTCCCCAAAAAGATATAAATACAAAGTGTGTGTGTGTCTGTGTGTGTCCTACCACAGTAGCGTACAACAGATCACGAAAATTCCACAGCAGCACTAAAGCACAGGCCATACTCACCGTCATACCCATGCTTAAGACAAAAGCCCCAATTAACCAACATCAGCACAGCCTCCACCTGTGCGACACCCCAATATCCAGCAGGGTAGCGCAGGCCTCCCAGGCTCACGGCCTTCACTGGAGGAATACCGTAGAAACAGTATCGCAATGGAGCGATAACAGACTGCGGCAAACCTGACCAAACCGGGCGCTTCAACTGTGGGATCTGAGTCTGCTGTAGAACACGGAGGTCCATGCTACAGCTGACACACATCCTGGTGAACACAGCCAAAGTGGGGAGTAGTGGTGTGATTCTCTGCCAACAGGGGGTGCCACAGTGGGTACATCTTTGGCATGTCCCGCCTGGCTGAGCACAGTCTCGCACATCAGTTTATCTTTGCTTTGTTTAGTTTTGCCTACTTCACATCATTGACCCAACTGATAGCCTTCTTTCACAAATAACCAGAACATAGGAGAAAACACCATCGTAGAACTCCAGTCCCATATTCTGCTTGGTACAATTCTACAAGGACTACAGGAATGCTTTTACTGGATGAGACACTTCAGCTTCCTCATCAGTATGGTCAAAGCTCATTGGCCACAACTCACATGAATAGCTCTCATTGGACAGACAGCATCTGTGCTGGCAGCTTTCACTGGACGAAAGAATTACACAGGTATTCTCCAGTCCCACTCCCCCATTTAGCGGAAATATGACAGGGCTGAAAAAAAGCCCTGAAAAAAGAGGAGCTCAGTACAAACAAAGGGGCTTTCAAGCGAGTGGAATCCACCATGCAGAACTCACTAATATGGACCGTCGCACACGGGAGGAAGAAACAGACTGGCCCAGGTTCTGTCAGGTGATTCAAAAAGGAACGGGAGAGGAGTTACATCATCATCCTAGAGAGCATGCACCCAAATAGCTTGCCTGTCCCTCGTCACAAGAGATCAACATAGGAAAAGAGATAATTAGTCTTGGGGAATATGTTTAGAGATGAAACTGCAACACAAAGCTCGGTTAACACCCTACTGGGCATGGTAAAGGAAAACATTCAAATTACACCAAAGACTACATTTTAATTGCTCAATAAACATCTTGAAGTTAAATGCCTTCATTTCATTTCTTTGTCTTCCATTTTCCCTGCTTTTGAATTATTCTGTATCAATGATGCATCTGTATTAGTGTATCACAAGACACGCATGTAAAGTGCTTTGGGGCGACTTGTGAAAGGCGCTATATAAAAATAAATTGAACTGAATTGAATTCCTGAACCTATGACAGACTGCAGCTTTCAGTCCCCAGTGGCAGCCTCAGCATCTGCTATCTCCCACTTGCACCCACAGACAGATTAGCGAGCTCACCAGTACCTCGAACTGTGGCCAGTTCATGGGCATCCCAGGGCCATGGTTGGACCGGAACCACTTCAAGTCCTCTTCCACGTCTGCAGATTTGATGGTGTCCTCTAGTGTATGGTAAACTGTCTGGAACCTGAGAGCATTTACAGTTATTTAGTTTTCTTTCATTTAAGAACATGTGGGTTTCTTCCATTTCTACGCATGCTTCCTAGATCAGTATTCAGCAGAACCCGAAATAACTCAACAGCTGGCAAGGACTTTTACAGGAGCCGGACTAGAAAACCTTGAACAAACAGAGTCAGCAACTGAATGAGTCAGAGTACCTTAACGATCCACATGAGGTCACGCAAATATGGCACACAGCCCAAATTAAAAGTCATCAAACAGAAAGAGGTCACGTGAGAGACAGGTGCAAGATGGGACTTGGAGCAAAAGAGTGTCACTCTTACTTGGGGTTGGCAGACAGGTCCAGATGACTCTTCACTTCCAGCAGGACTTCCCTGAAGAAGCGAATCCGCTTGTCCTCAAACTGCTGCCACTGCTCAAACACCTGCTCCATGTTCTCCATGTACTGGGGTGTGCTCTTGTCCAGCTCCTCCAGAGACTTCTCATACCGCTCTTTCATCTGAGGGAGGTCAGGTTAGAGGGGTCAACACACAACTCGCACTGCAATGTAATAATAATAATAATAATAATAATAATAATAATAATAATACATTTAATTTTAAAGGTGCCTTTCAGAGCACACAAGGACACCGCACAGAATTACACAATGAATAAGAACGACCAGAATAAAACTAAAACAGTATAAAAAGCTAAAGGAATTCACAGAGTAGGCACTTTTAAACAGATGCGTTTTAAAAAGAGAAAAGGAGTTTATATTTCTAATGTCTTTTGTTAGGGAGTTCCAGAGTCGGGGGGCAGAGCAACATTATGCCCTGCTCCCCATAGTGACAAGGCGGGCAGAAGGGACGATGAGATGAATAGAGGAGGAAGACCTGAGGGAACGAGAGGGAGTAGCAATGTGAATAAGATCAGAGAGGTATGGAAGAGCGAGGTTGTGGATGGCCTTAAACGTATAGAGGAGGAAGACCTGAGGGAACGAGAGGGAGTAGCAATGTGAATAAGATCAGAGAGGTATGGAAGAGCGAGGTTGTGGATGGCCTTAAACGTATAGAGGAGGATTTTGAAATTAATGCGTAGAGGTACCGGGAGCCAGTGCAGCTGCTGCAGGACAGGGTGATATGATGTATAGAGGGGGTTTTAGTAATAATACGAGCAGCAGAATTTTGAAGTAATTGAAGCTTATGGAGGGATTTGTTTGTCAGACCAGACAGAAGGGGATTGCAGTAGTGAAGTGACTAAACTGTGAACAAGGATAGTGGTGGTATGGGGGGTGAGGGAAGGAATGTACTAGCAATCCTCTCAGAATCCTTCTTCAGGCAACACTGATGCATTTTAACGGAATCCCTCAGCTTAACACTTGTTACAGACAAGGCAAGCGGACACACCTTCTGCACTTCCTGCTGGCATTTTTCCACCTTGTCCTGCAGCTTCTTCTGAGCATCTGGGTTGTTGTTCTCCAGCTTGCTGTTGTTCTCCCTGCTAGTGGCCAGCTTCTCCTCCTTGCAGGCTGAGTGATATGCCTTCTTCATTATATCCACCTGCAATGACAGCATGAAACCCCAAGTCCACACCAACACTGGCAAAAAAAAAAAAAACAAAAAAATAATTACTTAGAGGCTTTAATTTCATCAGTGTCTTATGATGTAATAGGAATAACAAACATGGCTGAGTGATAGTGATGGGGATGAATATAATTTTGATGGCTACACTCCTTTCCATAGAGACTGCCAGGACAGAAAGGATGGTAGTACTTCCTCCAGTGAACGATGATCCATATATATTAGTTCTGCATGTGGATTACCCTCGTTGGAAAGGTGCTATGTTTGTAAAAGCATATCTGCCTTGCAAGGGCACCTAATGTACATGTAGAGGGGAGCATAACTTTATATGACATCAGGGTACTTCGAGAACGTATCAAAAGTATGGTATTTCAAAGTGTTGGTTTTCCAGTGGTGTAAAAACTGGTACCAGTGGGGAATGACATCACAACGCGAGGTGGGGTATTTTGCACCACTGTTGTAGTCCGTGGATGTCCAGGCCATTTTGCGTTGCTGAGATCAGCAATGCTTTCTTTCTTTCTCAGGGTGTACCAAACAAGATTTTGCCACTCCTAAATGTTGTAGCAATTTCTTGAATAATTTTTTTCTGTTTTCACAGCCTCAGGATGGCCTGCTTCACCTGCATTCTGAGTGAGTTCCTTTGACCGCATGTTGTATGTTCACACCTCAATCTTCCAAATGCAAACAAGACACCTCAAATCAACTCCTGGCCTTTTATCTGCTTAATTGATAATGACCTCTCCTGGAGCTGACACCTTATTGTGGTGGAGGGGTTTGCGTGTTCCAATGATCCCAGGAGCCAAGTTGCCTGGGGCTTTATGCCCCCGGTAGGGTCACCCAACGCAAACAGGTCCTGGGTGAGGAACCAGACAAAGTGTGGCTCATTAGACCCCTTCTGATGAGTAAAAACATGGATACACATTTTCCCTCGCCTGGATACAGGTCGCCAGGCCCCCCCCCCCCCTGGAGCCAGGCTTGGGGGTAGGGCCTGGTCGGGCACAGCCCGAAGAAGGCACGTGGGTCCCCCCTCCAATGGGTTCACCACCTGTAGGAGGGGCCAAAGGGGTCGGGTGCAGTGTGAGTTCGGCAGTGGCCGAAGGCGGGGACCTCGGCGGACCGATCCTCGGCTGCAGAAGCTGGCTTTAGGGACCTAGTCACCTCTCTGGTGGGGCAAGGAGCCTGAACTGGTGCGCGAGGTTGTGAGGTTCGGACTATATATAGAGGCGCCGAGGAGGGGTGGGCATACTTAGGCCCCCCCTGATCTAAACCCGAGTCGTGTTTTGTTATTGGACTTCTGTGCTTGTCACGGATTGTCCATAATGAACACCATGTTCAAGCATAAGGGTGTCCATATGTGCACTTGGCACCAGGACACCCTAGGCTGCAGTTCAATGATCGACTTTGCGGTCGTGTCATTGGACTTACGGCCATTTGTCTTGGACACTCGGGTGAGGAGAGGGGCGGAGCTGTCAACCGATCACTACCTGGTAGTGGGTTGGCTCCGCTGGTGAGGGAGGAAGCCAGTCAGACCTGGCAGACCCAAGCGTATGGTGCGGGTCTGCTGGGAACGTCTGGCGGAATCCCCCGTCAGAAGGAGCTTCAACTCCTACCTCCTGCAAAACTTCGGCCAGGGGACATTGAGTCCGAATGGGCCATGTTCTGCGCCTCCATTGTGGAGGTGGCTGACCGAAGCTCTGGCCGTAAGGTGGCCGGTGCCTGTCGCAGCAGCAATCCCTGAACCCGCTGGTGGACATCAGCAAACAGGGATGTTACAGGGTTCCCGCTGCCGCTCGTCACTCTCGTCATTGACGAA